TTTTTTTTTTTTTATTTTAAAAAAAGCACATGTTGAGATAAGTACAAGTCTAAGAAAGATTGGTCTTGGACACGTGTCTGCCTAGAAGACTTCTGATGACCATGGTTTGCTTCTTGATGGTCATGGTTTGCCTTTCTATAAATAGGGAGGATATGTTCAAGTTTAAAGCAAACAAAAAAAACAAAAAAACAAAAAACAAAAAAACAAAAAAGGAAATAAAATACTGGCAAGGAAGAAAACTAATAAGGTCTTTGATAGTGGAAAGCAAGAATGAGAAATTAATAGTAAGGTGAGTAATATTATACCTTGAGTCATCATAAAATATTTTACGTATATCTTGTGTTACCACGATTTATTTTATGCAATTCATGTTTTATAAATTATATTAATATTTCAATTATGCTAATGATTTTATAAACCCTATTTGCTTAAATTGAAACTAATGGATATGATTTATTTAAATTTAGAATTTATTTGATAATGATTAGATAAATATTTATTTTTGTAAGTATCACTACGGGAGTCCCATACTCTAGGGGACTTAAATAACCATTGGCCTCTGATTGGTTACTTTGTGCCCTCTGTTTGTCATAAATCCATTGACCTTTGTTCTAATTGTCACTCCAGCGACCTCTATTCTGTTCTGTTTTATACCGTGGTTGTGGTTATTGTTTACATAACTTCTAGATTTCAATTTCTGCCACTGAAATAATTTGTTTACTCAAATTAAGTTTGTATAATGTTTTAGCTTAAATAACAATCCATGGTTATTTTGAACCCAATGCTCTTTGCATAATATTCTCTCAATCTGATGTGTGCTTATAGCTATTACCCCTTTTAGGTGATGAAATATAAAAAAGGATTGTAACCTCGTGTAGTAAGACCAGTACGGAATTTGATACGGATTTTTTTTTTTTTTTTTGCCTCTTTTTTACAATTGTCTGTCATCGAATAATGAAATAAGAAAAGCCCGATGGATCTATTTTCTTTTATTAAAGTAGTAAGATAAGTAATGAAGTTAAGTTTCTTACTTTTATTCCCCTCCACCTGCGCCGCTTAATTTGTTAAAATTAGAATTAATTAGCAAGTTGTGATTCTAGTCCTAAGCAACCAGGGTTTGGTCGTGACAATAAATTTATCTCAAAATCAAGCTCTCAGTATTTTTGCGGACTATGCAGTCCGCTTGAGTGACCAAGTGGTGGCTCGAGTGATCAAGCCTTTTTAGCATGTTTTGAAAAATTACTTCTTCATATTTTCATTCTCATTTCTTCCCAAGCATTCTCAGGCATAAATTATGACCTATTGAGGATTACTAAGTTACAAACCAACATAAGTTAATTGATTATGAAGCAAAGTAAAAAATCAGTCTATTTAAGAAAAAAAAGAATTAATAATGAAAGATTATATGAAATAAGAACCCGGTTTATTTGAGTAAGAAAGAATTAGCGTAGTAAAACTTTGGGTGACTTACACAGAAAAGGACAAGAAAAGTTAAGTTTGATCAAGGAAGTGATAATGTGTTTCAATATGTATATGTTATGTGTTTGTGTAAGTCATGAGCCACTGTCCGTCTGATCTATCTCTGGAGTTATCTGTGAGTAATAACTCTGTAAAGCTATGTTTGACTATAAGTATTTTTTGACTGATATGATATGATCTGTTTTCTGAAATGCTATTTTGTGAATTATAAATGAATGTCCAATTTTCTGAAATGTATTCGAGGCATACTTAGCATCATATGTATCTGTTATTTATTATCTGTTACCTAGTACTAGGGTTTCACGTGGGTTCCATTCATGGAACTGATTATGCATAATCAACTATATGATCTACACTTGGATCTTAAATGACCATCTCATGTGAATATGGGTCTTTATGACCACCTACTCTGCACTTGGGTCTTTATGACCAATCCGATCTATTAAAGCTAAAGGATGTATCACGTATGACTGTTTACAAATCTGAATAAGTATATTAAACTGTTTCTGATTTGAATTTTGATTTCTGAATCTGTTATGGACATCATTCATCAAAACCTTTACTATATTGTTATTCACTAAGCTCCTGCTCACAGTATTATTTATGTATGTAGATGATTAGGTGCATGACCAGGCTTAGAGCTTTTGCCTGGACTCTATCTTGTCAGCCAACTTATGTGTCTTCTGTGGAGGTTCTGGATATGTCAAGTGGTTATGGCTATGTGATTAAAGTTTAAGTTTTTGTTTTTTCTATAATGAGGGCTAAGTCCTTTTTTGTCTTATTCATATAAATGTAATGACGTAAGGGTGATATATGATATATGTATATAAAGTTTAAATTTTTTCTATCTCATATATGTCTGCACAGCTCAATAGACATTGCATATTTGTTATTTTCTTCCGCTAGCCCCTAATAATTAGATTTCTGTTTGAGAGGCCTTCGGTAATCTACGGATTACTGGCCTGTTACGATGCTAAACTTATAGGGGTGAGTTTGGGTCGTGACAGTATGCAATGCATTACACTAGGCCAGATATTTCTTTTGTGGTTTGCAAACTTTCTAGATACACAAGTAATCTAAGACCGGAACATTGGAAAGCTATTGGTAGAGTTGTTGGGTATCTTAAGGTTTTGTTTGGGAAGTGGGTTGGCTTTTTTGGATAATTTAGCATGGGGCTAAAAAGCCTAGTTTAGGAAGGGCTTCTAGCTTTTTTGGTTTTTTTATGAGAGAAAGAATATAATGATTATGAGTTGGATGTGATATTTTGTCTTATTGAGCTAAAAAGCCTATTTTGTTTTTTGTGGTTATTTTAGCTAAAAAATCCTCAAACCCAACTTCCCAAACATAGGCTAAGAAAACTAGCCAATTGGGACTATATTATACCAATTTTCATGTTGTATTAGAAGGTTATACTAATACTAGTTGGATTACTGGTGCAAATGATAACAAGGCAACATTAGGGTGGGTATTTACCCTTGGTGGTGGAGCTATGTCACGGGCTTCAAAGAAACAGACATGTATATTGTAGACACTCCATTTTGACTAACCTTAAAACTTAGGCGCTTTCTTTTGATTACTCGATGATGAAAATAAGAATGTGTTTTTTACAAAATCTTCAGTAAAAAAGATGGAATTTGAGTTTTGTTCCCAACCTTAAACCTGTTTTGGCCAAGTGTTTAAGACCCGTTGGGCACCAGCGCAAAACTGGCCTGAACCGGAGCAAAATGGCCAACTTTATTTTCGCTGGTTGACCACCTAGAGATAGTTTTACCAATTTTTTGTTTGCTTGGGTGGGATACTTCACAACCCCATTTTTTTGGCCTATTCATGCATTGAATGCATACATACTCAGCCTCTATTGTTTTCTGCTTGATCCATTGAAGATTATGCTTTATTTTGGTGCTCCATTACCTCTATTATCTTCCCTAAATGCTCCATTAGTTCTCTATTTTTTCTTCTACCATTGCTCCACTTGCATTGCTATAAAAGGAGAGCTCAAGTCTTGAATTTGAAAAGATGAATTTGAGAGAAGAAGTGTAGAGAGAATGATGAGTTTGTAGAGTTTAAGAAAGAAAAGAAAGCTTTGAAAACAAGAGTGTTGTGTTGCCAAAGTAGTAAATTTGTCTTTAGCCTTCATATATCTTATCTTTCATTACAAAAACCTCCCAAGAAACTCATTGAAACCAAGCCTTAGAGCTTTGATCAAGGAGAGAGTAATCCTTGCCAAGTTCAAGAAACTTAAAGAGTGATAATTTCCTATAAACATACATGTCCGAAGCCACCATTCTAGCTCAAATTCCAAGCTTTTGAATTGAGGATTGAGAACACAATTCAAAACCTTAAGGGTGATCAAAAGGAAGTTCAGAAATCAAGAAATTCATTTTTTCTTTGGAAGGCGAATTTTCAGTTTCTTTCATTTTTAATGTTATATTTGTTTTGTTGCTTTAATTTCATACTAGTTTTGTTGTAATCTAATCGGAAGTGGTTAATTGAGCCACTTATATATATTCCTTGTTTGTTCTTTTCTCAGTGTTGTAACAAGACAGGTTTTGCTAGGCCTAGTTGGTCAGCCGACTAATTTCTTCTAGACGAAACAAAGTAGTGTTCTGGCGTTGAGCATACTAGTTTCCGGCGATCCTCAAAACCTACGTCTTCTATTTTCTTTTCATTTGAGAATTTCGTGAGATTTTTATTTTGTTGTAATATTTTTTTGCTCTTCCTCTCATTTGGTTTGTAATTATTTATTCAAGTGTTATAATAATTTTGTGCCTCGTTTCTTTCTATCACGTTTTTTTACTTGCTTTTCTTATTTGTATATAAACATCATTTTTTTATCTTTTCATCATATTCATGCTTTGCATCCATGTTTCATATATCTTGATTCAGCTAAGTTTACATCTATGAATTTAATCAATTCTTATGTGATTATGTGCGTTATCCCATGTTCTTGAGATAATTCACATGTTATATAGTAGAAACTAAATCTTTAGTTGCATCTCATGAATGAATTGCATTAGGATTTTATATATAAGATTATGTATATTTTATTAACTTTGTTTTGTAACTGTTCCCGGGACGTCAGTAATGTTAAATTTTTGTATTCAAATTTTCTAATCAAAATATGTGTAGTATTATGATAAAAAATACGTAACATTATCATAAAATGTGTAACTTTATTTTTAAATCACAAATTATTGTAACTCCATAAAAAATACATAGTATTTATAAAAAAAATGTACGTAACATATACCACAAAATAAAGTAATTTTTATATACAAATAATGTATATGCCATATAGTACCTTCTACTTGTATTAAATTTGATAATAAAGTCCACTCCATTTATATTAGATATTTCAAAAATAATAAAAAACTATATATATTTATAATTAGTAGAAAATAATATCTCATAGTACCATATTCGTATACAAAACATTTTCCACAAAATGAGTAAGGGGTGTCTACCATCTCCTTCTTTATGTAGACTGGAATAAATTATTTTATTAAACTAAGGGGCCTCACTGTAATAAAGTCATTAATTGGGGGGGGGGGGGGGGGGGGCATTTTAACTTGCAATTAGGGCTTCTTCCTTCGGTCGATCAACAGCCCTCTTCTCTCTCGTGTGCCAGTGGCGGCAACCCACCACCACTATCACATTTACACTCACCGGCCGGCGCCGCCGTCGCATCAGGTTCGAATTCCGGTCACAATCTCCAGGTCACTCCTTATTTTCTTTCTTTCTTTTTTTTTTTAAAAAAAAAATTAATTTTTTTTTACTCTTCTTTTTCTTGTTTGGCATGTTGGATTTTCTCTGTGTTCACTTGTTTTAATGCAATTACATGTTTGAAGCTCTGTAAGATTCAGTAGTGTAGTGTTGCAGTGGCCATAAAGAGGGGGGGGGGGGGGGGGAAGAGTGCTTGAACAGTCTGATTGGAACAAGATTGACACTTTTCTTTGTATTTTAATCAAGATTGAAACTTGTGGCTCTGTATATTCTTTTTTGTGATTTTGATTTTTGATTGTAGACCATGTATATAGATACTTCAAATTGTGTAGTACCCATTTCAGTCATCAAATGTTTTGCAACAAGATTTTCCAATACATATGATATAATAATATTGGTTTCTGAGATAAATGAGTAACAAATTTTGTAACTTCATTGTATAGTTTCTTGGTTCAACATTGTTCCATGAATATTTATGATTTAAACAAACAAATGCAGTTGAGTCTTGCCAAAATCAATGATGGTGGTGTGCTCCCATTATTGTCAGTGTGGCCTGGGAGCTTCTATTTCTACACATCATTTCCTATTTGTGCACATCCCTTTCAATTTGCATACCAAACAAATTATAAAATTTTAAATTTACTCAATCCACGCACTTCTTGTTTCAAATATATCCTACATACACGTATACCACATATAAAATTGTACACCCACCAAACAAACACACACCCAAATGCACATAACAGTGAACCCAATGACAATGAACCCAAAATTGCAGAATTTGCAGGGGGAAATTTTTTATTTGTTCGAGTATGTAAATAAATCGCGAATATGGTCCAAGTAATAAATGCCCAACAAGATCTTTCTTTTGTCCCTTCCAGGCGACCGGAAAATAAAGAAATGGTTAATATATTCAAGATAGTTACGTATTTACAAAATATCGTCTCAATTCATCCTATTTCATTAGATCCGGGATGTGAGAACTGAATTAGTTCCTCCCTCTCCTGTGGTTCGTTGGGATCAGAACTTTGAATTCTGTAGGAAATGCTACTTTGATTCCCTGAGATTGGAATCCGTCTTTTCCATAAAGGATATAATTAACAACTTGAAGTTGCACATTATCCCTTTCCTGGAGTAGATCCGGGGGGAATTTCAAAGTAGCATGATCTAATTCAAAAATTTCACCCAATTGAGCACGTCTAGCATATTTTTTCACAGTAGCAGGGTCACTATAACTGACTCCATTGAGTTCGCCGCCGTAGAACTCAACAGTTACACCATATTCTGACTTTTATCTGGAGAATAGCCAACAACTGTTTCCATTGAATGAATAACGGATCCAGATCCTAAAAACAATAATGCTTTTGAATAAGGCATCTATTCCCACCCCCGGTACCGGAAATGAAGTCAATAAGCAAGATTCAAAATCCCTCCTCCTCTCGACCTTTTAGAAGCCCTTCCCAATATTTCAGTTCTTCCCGGGCCTATTGTACCATCCTTTCTTTCTAAGCATTGTTTGGAGTGAGGCATTGTTGATTTTACCCTTTTGAAGAACCTCCATGGAGGAAAACCTCCATTGAAGAACCTTCAATGACAATTTTGTTTTTAATTCACTTTATATATTTATTTTATTATTGTCATGGATTTTCATATATATATATATATATATATATGTATATAAATATATAAATTTGTACGAAACTTATTTTCAAAGGTGAAATAGTGAGTGGAAAAAAAAAATGGAATATAGAGGTAGGGTTTAGTATTTTTTTGTAATGAATGTGTTGTGAGATTTTTAGCTCTGTTTGGTTTAGTTTTTAAAAAGAATTTTTAGTTGTATTTTGAAAGATGAGTTTTTGAAAGTAAAAACTTGTTTGGTTATTAGTTTTGAAAATAATTTTGGGATGATTGGTAGTTTTTTTTTAAAAAAAAATTTGTAGTTGAATAGATAGGTGTGAGAGAAAAATTGATTGATTGATGTGTAAAAAAAAAAAAAAAAAAAAAAAGAAAGAAAAGAGAGAAGGAGAGAGGAGAGAGAAAAAACAATTTTGAATTGTATTTTGAAAGATGCTAAACCAAACATGTTTTTGGGTTTTTCAATCCAAAAGTTGATTCAAAATCAAAACCAAATGGAGCCTTCTTTTTCAGAAGATGTGTACTGGGAAAACTTCAATCTCAAGTGAAGTGGGTGTATTGATGTCGATATTGGTAATTTCATTTAAGGATAATATTGTAATAAAAATATTTTTCATGAAGTGTGTGCACAAAGTGAAAATAGTGTGTGGAAATAGAAGTGTAGATTGGATTGGGATCTAACGTTTTGCATTATAATGTTTTTCACTTTTACCATTTATTCTCCTACAAGATCACTGAGTGAAGGGGTATGTTTGAGTGCCAATGGCCAAATTGTGTTCGCTTCATGATTCAATATGCCTAACAATGGATAAACATTTAGGCATCTTTAACAACTTAGTGAAATGAATCTTTTTGGCCATTTCAGCTGGTCTCCCCTACATTTTGCCTCTCCTCTATATTTGGAGAGCCAAACTATACTAGGCAAGGTTTTAAAAAGCGGCCGCAACCGTTACGTAACGCCGTTACGTAACGGTTTTGGCGGTTACCGCCACCCGTTATGGCCGCTTTTGTAGTGTGATTGAGATTCACAGGTGTGTCGGCTGTAACAGCTGCCGTAGTGGTCGTAATGGTGCCGTAACAGTCGTAACGGCCTGTTACACACCATTACGTAACAGTTCCAAACTGTTTCTTTCGAAAAAACACACAAAAAAAAACTGAAAATGGGGGAAGAGGGATAAAGAGAAGAGGGAAGATAAAGAGAGAAAATGGAGGAGCAAAAAATAGAGAGAGAGAAAAGGCAAGATGAAGAACATGTTATTGATATGTTGAAACTGTAAGACCTATGCTATTCTATTCAACTACTATCACTAAACCATTTTGTTTGTGTGTGTCTATCTATATATTGTTTGAAAATAATAATAATAATAATAAGTGTGGTCATTATCTATTTGGCTTGGTTAAAATATGTATATATATATATATATATATTTAGACTCTTATTTATCCTCTTACTTTTGTCATTATTTATCTTATATATAATTGTTAGTGATTGATTTTTTGTATAATATAAAGTCATTAATTATTAAAATAAAATATAAAAAACTCAGTTTATAGTGATTTAAAAATATGAAATATATTGGATCATACTTAAAAATTTACAAAAAATTGATCAATATTATTTTTAACCCAATAAATATGATCATGGAAAAAAAATATGCGTATCGGTAAGTTTTTTTTTCAAATTGTGTAAAAATAAAAAAATTCACGGTTCCGGTTACCGCAACGTTACAGTACGGCCTTTACACCCCGCAACCGCAACCGCATCACGCCACGGTTACGGCGACCGCAACGCTTTTCAGAACTGGATACTAGGTAAATATAAAAAACTAATTTATTCTCCATCCCCTATTTCTCTTTTCTCATTTTCCCACTATACTTGAACAGTGTAAATTAAATTATATATATAAAGGTTGTTGAAAGTGACTAGCTAAAATACTAAACTAAAGATCATTGTTGGAGGATAAGTTGCAAAAATTGACTAGTTAAAATAGAGAATACACTTTTTACTGTACTTATGCTACCTAAAATGGCTAGCAGTGTTGGAGGTGTTCTTACATGTTAAACTAATAATATAGATGTGAATTGAACAATGTAGAATATGAAGAGTGAAAGCAAAAGTTCTTATTCATCTGATATTGTGCTATATCGTACGAACTGACGACTTTATTTTCTATGTAAAAGGAAACTTAAATAACACAATGATTAAAGCTGTGAAGTTAGGCCGTAGTGTTACAGATGCAGATTCATTGGTTCAACAGTAAGCTAAAAAGAATATGTATACTATCGGCTATTTTTGTACTCTTCTTTTGGGAGATCAGGTGGTCTTGCCTTTCGCAATTGGGCAAAGGCCTGGTCAATGGCAATGTAATATGTTTATAGAGCATATTTTTGTTATCTAAAAATATTAAACGATTTTCATCCTTAAAAAAATTGATATTGGTGCCGAAAATTTGTTGTTCATGTGCTCTTTGAGGTTTGTTTATGTGTGTGTGCTTATACCTGTTTTTGTTCTGTACCTGATTATGCTTATGCTTTTTCAGCAGGTTGGAAGATAAAGGATTTTGAAAGAAGAAAAATGTCAGGGTACGTCAATATCACTTGTGGAAGATGTTTTTTCTTTTGTAAACAGGAATGTGAAATATATATTTGCATGGCAAACTTTGTTTTACTTTTTTGTTCCTCATGAGTTGCACCCTTTAGAACCATATTTTGGATAACTGAACCACTTTCCCCAAAAACCTCCTAACAACAAATCTCTTCGCCTCTCCGGTAAACCAACAAACTTAGTCCGTGTCAGAATCGGAATGCCTTCGTTGGAGGACAATGCCGACACAACATTATCATTAGCATATTTTTTAGATAACACAACAATAGAGGGGGCCCTCATTTGCGAATCTTCTGGCAATGTCACTCGTAGAATACTTCAGATACCCCTTCATTTTACAATAACCTAACCCCCTTTTAATATTGGAATTTTTCAAGTCGATACTTCACCCATCCATGGCGCCTGTTTGTCGTTAATTGAACAATAATCATTCCCATAATAGACTAACTCGCATTGACAATCTACTGGGAAAATAAACCATGCCTGCAAACTGTCATTACCGTCTAACTCCGATCATAAACTTTACCTGTACCAACCCACTAGCATTGGGGCGCAAAGGGGATATTTTTATCATTATTTTATCAACCTTAATACTTTTTTGTTTATATCTTAACCTCAATTGAGAAAATAAATTAGGCAACGTAAGTTAAATACAACTGAAATCATCTTGCCGACACCTTCAACAACCCCAGTTTTTATATCGTCTACCTCCATTAACCTGAACATTAAAATAAAAAATACATCAAATTACAATTCTAAACAGTTTTAAAGTACATTTGACTCCTTAAAGTAATTTTGCATTCCTTTTCCACTAACAGTAGCAGCCACTAAATATATGGCACCCTTTTGAACTTCCAACATTTTCCCAACAGCGTATCTTTGTAGTCCGTCCAAACATCAATTGGGAAGAACCGGTCTACAACTTCTATCCCGTGACGAACGTACTCTTTGTCCTTGCGCCACCAACGAGCTTGAATCTCATTTTCTTTAGCCATCCGAAAACGGTCGGAACTGATCAGGATCAACAATTCAGGTCTCAGGATTACCCTCGCCAACTCCAATAAATATCTTGTCAGGTATAGGGACGGAATGTGACGGACTATTATCACTGATGACAAAAAACAACACGTGGTGGACCACAGCTTCGCTTTAGCATCTTGTCCCAATTGAACATTACCAATGAATTTGTTAACCTACTCACGACTTTGTCTGATTGACGGTCAGATCTCTTATTACCCAACTCAATACCATTAAGTAATCTCGCACTCTCTTATTATCAAACTTAACGTCCCTTAATTGTTCATCGTATAGCTGTAATTCCTACTCTCCCTCTTAGTCTTCTTTAAATCGAGGAATATTCTGAACGTGCCGTCTGCGAACATACTGGGTCTTAAAAGGTGCACGACTACGGTAACTACGCCTATATCCACTGCCCGCCGGTGTCCTTGACCTCCGGTACGCAAGGGGGGTCCGGTAATGGCTGCTTCCTATTCCTTCAATTTTTTATAAATAACTCCAAATCTTTTATACGAACACTTCTACAGGATCTGTTACCTCTGCTAACCCTTCTGTTCAGACACCTTAGCTTTGATATTTTTGCCCTCTGATCTTCGTACACCGGAACAAACCTTCACCGGAGCCTCCGCCGGTCTCTTCCCACAGTCCTGTTGCCACCGTCAAAAAGCGATTTACACACATTTGAGTGAACTGCCCGTAATTCTCGGGAATCTCTTCTAAGGAATACAATTGTATAACAAATAAATCGAACAAAATTGGCAGAAAGAAAAGGAGGTGACTAAGGCTTAAGAAAGAGATTTGTTTTTGATAATGTTATTCACTCTTTTTCAATGTATTTTCTCTCCCCAGTGAAGAGGTTGTTGTCGCAGCTGAGGCACCCGCACCTGCTCCAGCTCTTGGCGAGCCTATGGACATCATGACAGCCTTGCAGCTTGTGTTGAGGAAATCATTGGCTATGGCGGGGTTGCTCGAGGTCTTCATGAAGGTGCTAAGGTGATTGAGAGCATGCTGCCCAACTGTGTGTGTTGGCAGAGGACTGCAACCAGCCAGATTATGTTAAACTTGTCAAAGCACTTTGTGCTGACCACAATGTGAGCCTGATAACAGTTCCAAGTGCTAAGACTCTCGCGAGTGGGCTGGTGTAAGTAAAAATCTATCACTAGTTTACTAATTCCTTAACCTTTGTTTCTATCTCTCTTGTAAATTTGGCTGGTTGTTGTGTGGTCATTGTCTTTTTCTTAATTTGCTTTAGTATGGAAATTGCAGTGCTCTTTTCACATGTGTGGCCTCAAGAATGTTAATTATGTTTGTTACAACCCTTGGCCTTGATTGAAAAGGATTACTATGTACGAATTGTCATCGGGTTGTTAGGTGAAAAACAATTATTAATCAACCCAATAGATAGTGAATATAAGTGAGAGGGACTGTTTTGAAAAAAAACGCCTACTATATTTAGATAAGAAACGTAAAGTTATATTTTGGGATTCATTTCTTTCCTGACATGGTTCATTTTATTATGCAAGGCTATTTTGCCAAAGATGCTGTTGTGGTGTATTATTGCGGGTTTCCCACTTTTTACAATTTTATCTGTTAACTACAGGTAATGATTTTCCAAATCTGCTGTTTGTTCACTTGAGTGTGCATTATAGTAGGCGGGGTCTGTTGAGCTCTAGTAAATGAGACCAATGGACTTTTGGAGAACTATAATATACATAAATTAAGTTGTTTTGGGGTTTTTATTTTCCACGTAAGTAATGTGTTTCACCCTTTTTTATTCTTTGGCACACGGACAATACAAATTTATCAGCTCATAGTTGGTAATAG